ATTCAAACAGGTCCTGTTTGTCCTTTAATATATACATGATTTTTTCCAGAGGGAGGACAGATAACATCTGCTGCAGCCATTGGTTTATGCTCGGTCTGTGAGTCTTTTTCCAAAATATAGATATACATTTCTTTGCAATAAGCAAACTTAAGTTTATAAACACTCGTTCATTTTTTGTGTAAATATCTTTTTCAGGGAATAATCCAAACACAAACAATCTTGGCTCAAAAATTATCTGTTTTGAAATAATGTTTTCTATAGCACCTTGTACTTCTTTCCAAAACTGTATAATTTCTCTGCAATACCACATACAGTGAACCAGAGTCCCTCTATCCCCTGTGCATTTTGAACATAGATCAGGTATCTCCCTGTTATACCTATTGAGGTCTACTGGTAATGTAAATCCGCATTAGCCATTTATATTGAATCATTTTTAGAGATGTGTTAATAGAGCTGGTGTGGGCTAATTTACATGCAGTTTGCCAATCTTCCTCTGTTAACATAATCGATAGATCTTCTTTCCAAGCCTTAAATCTATCATGAGATCCTTCTGAAATTTGTAACATCATTAAGTTATAAAACTCTGTTATGGAACCTTTCTTCAAACTGTCCTTTGTTAACATTCTTTCTAAAGTTGAGATGGCAGGCTTCGTCAGCTTATTGTTTTGATTCGTTCTTATGAAGTTTCTGAGTTGAAGATATTTAAAGAAATGTTTCTTGTCCAGATTAAATTTATGCTGCAGATCTTGAAAGTTCATTAGTATGTCTGAGTCTGGTTCATAAAGATTCTGAATCAACTGTCATTTACAACATTCTCGTATTTCTCTCGTGATTATCAGGATTTTCTCCACCTTTTTAGTCTAGATACTCCTACATGTCATACATGGTTTAGTTTTAATAAGGATGCTTTTCATTTACCTTAACAAGGGTTAAGGATAATCAGTAGAAGATAAATGCATACAAGCAAAACAAAAAGGCTGAATTCTTCTTCTTGAAGTAATATTTGGCTTTAAAGGTTTTGCAAGAAGCATCAGCAATGTTTCTGGAACAGCATTTTATGTATATAAGATTTGAAAGGAAACCACATTTTAGTATAAAGGTTGACATGAGCACACTCTATGAATTCCCATTTAGCATTCTAGTTTTGGGTTGTCTCACTCATTGTGGTCCGTGTGCTAATCCTACGCTGCTCGTTTCTGCAGAGGAGGCGAAAGTGGCAGAATGTCTGTGGATCAGATGACCGAGTTCATCAACAACAAGCAGAGAGACCCGAGGCTCAATGAAATCCTTTATCCCCCTCTACGTCCTGCACAGACTAACACTGTGATGGAGCGGTACCAACATGACCAGGATAATCTAAAGCAAGGTAAGTACAGTGGATGACCACTTTGCAATCAAAGTGATTAAACTATGGACAAAACACCTGAAGAAAATATCAATTTAGTTAGTTTAAAAGAGCTTTAAAAGAAAAAAAAAAATAGAAAACTTCAGGTTCTGCAGTATCCCGACAGATCCACTGTAATGGCTCAGAAAATAGGACCCAGAATTCCGACTAGACATACAGTGGAATAGTTAAAAAAACGTTTATTCAAACAACGACGGATCGATTCTGCAGTGGCAGCTGCTGCAGCGGCAAGGATGTCTAAGGCAGGAAGAGAAACACAGATAAGTGACTGTGATAATCTGACGGAGGATGATTATGAATGAACAAGTCACTAACCTGGTTTGACCGTACAGTCCGTACCCAGAGAAAGAGGAGGATTCCAGTCGGTCAACTGAGTAGACGCAGTGGACGGTCTCAAACGTTCCAGACCCAGAAGCCTAGAAGGACGCAGAGTTGACAGGAGATCAGACCCTAGCTGAGGAAGGAAAAAAATATAATTCACAGAGCGAAGTCAAGAGGCAGGTCAAGGTTCAGTCCCCAGAAGAATCTGACAGGAGTCTGAAGAAAGGCGGGCAACAGAGCAGATAAGGGCAGGCAGGCTCAAAGTTCCAAATATAGAAAAAGATCAGGATCAGGCAATCAGAACACTATAATTATGCTAGAGGACTCTAAACAACCAAAGGCTAAAGAATAATCTGGCACAGATGGTTGGGAAACAGGCAGATTAAATAGGAAACTGGAACAGGTGAATCTGATGAGTAATGAGGAACAGAGCAGAGCTAGACAGGTGAATTACACTCACCGGCCACTTTATTAGGTACCCCATGCTAGTAACGGGTTGGACCCCCTTTTGCCTTC